CATCTTTAATTGCTTCTGATGACCTCTTGATAAATAAACATTTATTAGAAGCGCTATAACTTTTCAGGCCGGCCTCAAATTCATCATAAGATTAAAACTCGGCTCCTGCACAAAACGCCATTTTGCCCGAAGTGATCCCGGTCTCTACCCAGCCTGAGGCGAGTCACGAGTGAGGCAGGACAGGAAGCCGGATTCACGAGTCACAGGAAGTCGGAAGTGATGTCATGCTGGACAAGAATCAGAGTCCGAATAACATTTTTTCATATTCGGACTCGAGTCCGAAAAATCACTTCGAGAGTAATAACTAGAATGGCTCAAGTACACCTATTCAGTGTGAGAGGTGTAAGAACTGGGGGGGGGGGGGGGGCGCAATAATGCAGTGACACTGAAAATCTGCCAATCTTGAACAGAAAGCTAATAAAAATATAGATAAATAAATTACAATCACCCCATCCAATGAAACGCGAACACTTTAGTTCAATAACAAGGCATGACGGATCCTGATTCCACACAAGGCCTGCACCAACGCGCGCTTTGCAGAGAGCTCTAAAGTAGTCATCAAAATGCTAAAAATTTGCTTCCAAGTTCAGTTTTTGTCCTCTAGCGTTGCCCTCAGCCCCACCCCAATCCCCTTCTACGAGTGTATCTTATAAAGGAGTTCTATACTTCACAACGCTCAGACCGCCGGTACTCACAGGTTCATTGACCGGTCACGAGGGCGAACCTGTCAAGACGCTTGTATAACTTCTTTTTCTTTTTTTTTTTTTCTCACAAGCGACAGCAGAGAGCAATTTTTAATATTGATTTATTTTCAAGGCGACACAGCGTTCATAATGCACAACCTGCATGTTACAAATGTTGCGTTATCTATCAGACTATTACCCGAAAATTTCTGGGCGGTAACGAAAGCAGATCTTGATTCTTCCCGATCAAGCCTCGGTGTCACACATACTTCCGTCACAGCGGTTCAATTACGTTTCCTCAAGGATTCATCAACCATACAGTCTAGATAGCTGCACATTACACGGCCCTATACTTTCCCGACTTACCGACCTATCACAAAATTCCCGACTTTTTCCCGACCTCCCGACCCATCTCAAAATTCCCGACTTTTTCCCGATTTCCCGACCCTGTGGGGACCCTGTATCACTCTTAGACAAGCTAATCAACTTCCAGGTTTGTTACAAAAATTGAAGACCCAGCCCCCCACACACACATGTACGGCTCTGAGACAGGCTGTGATGCCTTATCCACAAACTCAGGACTGGTCTGGAGCAATGGTGTGCAAATTAGGTGGCAAGCGATGCCTAAGTTTGCGTCACACATTGTGAGGGTGCAACTGTTGCAGCAAGAGGTAATAACATTCTATTTCATTGCTATTCTCTCTACTGCCTCATTTAGCCGTATCGATGCCAGCAGGGGGCTAGTTCGTGATCAGAGTGTTCGACAGGTGACAATTTTTAAAGGAGTGGAAGGAAAGTGGGGAGGGGCGAATGCAGGAACGCCCCATAATGTAAAGGGGAGATAAGTACACAGGATGGCATAAAGGGTTTACGTGGGTGGTAGTAA